CAAGTGCTAAAATAATCCTGCTAATAAGATTGTCTTAGATTCATATATTTTTAACGGTAAGTTTAATACTTTTTTGTATTATAAAAAGGTATGAAAAATAAAACTTCTTATTCGGATCTGACAGCTAAAAGTAAAAACTACTCAGTAATTAATTTTAGTGTCGACTGAAGGCTAAAGCCACTTAGACCATTGCATAAGTTCTCACCCATCATTAAGGCCCCAAATATCAAAGCTATCCAATTAATGTTATATATGTAACTTTCTTTTTTGCCATTTGCAATTCTTGTCAATGGGTTTGTTTTATTTCAACCTATCTCATGGGCTAATATGGTTTGCGCAATTAATAGAGGTTCGGTTCAAGGTCCTGAGGCTCATGTCACTGAAGACATAAAAGATATTATTCGGCTTTTGAGAAGTGGCTCAGTTCGCTACACTTCTCGCTTGGAGAACGGTGTAGCCCATTTTCTTGCCAATTATGCTATTATTTTTGTGCTCTCTCTGTTTGGATTGGTTATATTCTTAGGTCTTGTTCGCTTTGTAGATTTAAATTTTCAATTCGAGTTAAGATGTGATATTTTCTGAGAGTTTTTAACTGTAACAAAAAAAATTAAATGTGACATTTTCTAAAAACTTTTAATTGTAAAAACCTAAAACTAAAAACTCGAATCGGTGAAATGAATAAGACTTTAGTTGTTCAAGCTTTGTGTGAGGATGGATTCTTCTTTTATTGAATAATTTAGTAGCTCATTTTACCTTAAAAAAAAGTTTTATAGTATTAGGAAAGAGTTTAGAATTGGAATATGCATGTATTGGAATTTTCAAATTTTATACTTCGTTTTATAAATGCTATTTGAATGTTTTTATTGACTTGGAATTAGGTTTATGATATATCGTTAAAAAAAAAAAAATCTACGAGTCTAGTTTAACTTGGCTCTAGTTTTAGTTTAATTAGATGATTGTACAATTTATTACGATTTTTTAAAGGAACAGAGAGGTCAAGTTGACAGATATAGACTCCGTTCATTTCACTGATTCGAGTTTTGTTACAGTAAAAACCTTTCAGAAACAGTCACATTTAACTTTTTTGCTATAGTGAAAAGCTCTCATATCTACGAGTCTAGTTTAACTTGGCTCTAGTTTTAGTTTAATTAGATGATTGTACAATTTATTACGATTTTTTAAAGGAACAGAGAGGTCAAGTTGACAGATATAGACTCCGTTCATTTCACTGATTCGAGTTTTGTTACAGTAAAAACCTTTCAGAAACAGTCACATTTAACTTTTTTGCTATAGTGAAAAGCTCTCATATAAGTCACATATCAATTTAAATTAAAAACTCGAATCAACGAATTAAATAGGCCAATAGAATTTAAGTTCATAGTTTTGGCCAATCAGTTCACATGCTGCTTGTACGGGTCGACCGCTCATTACTATAATGCACTGTTTTGTATGCACAGTATCATCCGGATGTATAATCAGTATTGTGGTAACAACTTTTATTCCAACATTGGAATTGAGCAATTCAAGCAGCGTTGGAAAGATAACAGAAAGATCTACAACTTTAAATGAAATGTTAGTGCAGGGTTGGCATTGGGGGCTAATTTGCAATCCCAATTTTCTATTGGGAGGAACCACAAGATGGCTGTTCGTGCAGGGTTGAACAACAAGTTCAGTGGACAAATTTCGGTTAGGACAAGCTTGTATGTGAACTCCTCAAGGCAAACTTGAATGATTTCTCTTGGCAAAAAACTAGTATGAATTGCATATATTTGATAGAGAATGAGAGACGTTTACTCTACAATGCCAAGATTGAAGGTCTGTATTTTCTTCACAAATTTTACACTTTTGGACATTCTGGTTGCCTAAAATTTATATGGGTTCTTTTGTGCAGTTAATTACTATTCAGTACTATAGTCTTAAATGAAGAGAAAAAAAAAAAAAAACACTAAACTCTCACATCTATCTGCAATGTTTACACGAAGTCTAAGAAGAACAAGGAGCAGCCCACAAACTTCCAATTGGAGGCTACAGTGACCAGATTACACCCCGGACGTGCATTAGATACCTTGTCAACTTGTTGGATTCGCTCGAATTCCATGTCGGAAAATATTTTACGGAGCAGAAATAATTTCAATGACAAACACTACTCTGATACGAAGGAAAACGACATGATTTTGATTGGAAAAAAAAAAAAAAAAAAAAAACTAATAGATGTGAAAGCTTGGTAAGAAAATATAGCAATGGCAGCAACATATAGTACTTGAAATGAAAGGAAAAGCTACCACCAGACATTTGTTGCATTCCCTCAAGGTTCCACCTCATTTCGAATGCATTTAACCGCGCAATAAAGACTTCATATCTACAAAAAGACAGGCTAATAATTGTGAAAAAGTAACAAAATGGAAATAGATGACAAATAAATAAAGCATTCAACCTAGTAGAGAGAGTATTTCTCGACAGCAGGCCCGGGCCAGAGGATCTTACAAATGCTCCCGACAATAGGCAGAAGCGCAACGAGCGCGTTTTGAAGCTGTTCTGAGCAGCTTGTCCTAACCGAAATTTGTCCACTGAGCTTGTTGTTCAACCCTGCACGAACAACCATCTTATAGTTCCTCCCAATAGAGAATTGGGATTGCAAATTAGCCCCTAGGAGTACGTTTGATTCATAGATTTAAAATTATAATTTAAAATTATTTTTAATTTATATATATTTTTTATAAAAAAAATATTATAACGAATCACGA